AGAGGTGCTGTGAAAGGGGATACCTTTGCCCAGTTTTTCTTGGGATTATCAGCAAGCCACTTGTGTACTGATGAAGCTTCAAAACACCCACCACAGCTTTCCCTTTCTTCGCTTCCCTGTCTAATTTAGGAAGATGCCTTGTGCTGTGCCTTTGAATAGTACGTATGAGAAAGTAAATAAAGCGTGGTGTCAGGTTTGGTTTGGGGCTGAATTTCGCCTGTGAGTAAATATTCCTTGACGTGTGGGTTCCCCTTTTTGGTTACGGTCAGTTGAGTTGCAGTTTCCGTCCGCAACAAGGAGACTGAACAATACTAGTCTTTATGATGACTTCATAAATTACAAGTTACTTATTCATAACAAGTTATTTCAGTACAGCGTGCCTGTAGTTTCACAGTTTTTGATGTGGCTGTTTGGTTTCTGTGGAGGTCGCATAAGGGTGTTAGTGAGATACATGACTGGTTTGGTATTTAGGATGCTGTGTCTTAAATGGTCTCTCCTCTCCCAGTGTGACTACTCAAATCATGCATCTCTGTCGTAGTTGGGTGGCTCATCCCTTGGTGATTTGGCGCATTTTGGGGCATTAGTCCTGTTTTGACCAGGTGCTTGAGCCATTTGCCTCATCACTTGCCCCTGTGTGAAAGGACAGCTGCTTCCCTGGAGCAAGGGAACAGGAGGAGCTGGGTTGGTTTGCCACTTTCTCATCTGTGTATTTAGCTCTCTGTGGGTAGATGTTGAGGATGAAACAGGCTGAGGTGTTGGGCTGGTGCTGCAGAGCTGGTCTCCACGCAGCCTGCCCGCGGAAGGTTAGGGGGGAGATCCCAGATCAAGTGGGGAGAAAGAGAAGACGAACTCAGGGAAAATACCAGGGAGTCCCTTAACTAGGAACGTGTTTGCTGTGGTTCATTGAGAGAAACCCAACAGCAGGAACAAAACCCCTCTTCCCACTGAGGCAGCTGAGGTGTCTTGGAGGGCTTCGCCAGCAGAGGTACCCACCTCGTCTTCCTCTGTGGGGAAAGGAGGGAGAAGCAGCAGCAGTTCAGTTCCAGCAGGGATATGGTGAGCAACTCGGTGAGCAGTGAACACAGGGGACCTGTGGCCGAAGAGGCTCTGCAGGAGCAGACAGAAAGTGGGGGGAGCGGGCCGGGGTGGCTGCTCCGCCTGCCCGCAGGGCTGCGGGAAGGGGCAGGCAGAACACAAGCCGGGCATTGCATTAAGCCTGTAAGGAGACACTCGGGGAACTTAAGATGGATTAACTTAAGGTGTAAAGTTTAAAGCGTATTATTATGAAGGAGGATTAAGCTAAACTGAGCTAATGACACCACTTTTGAATGCATATCCACACAGTGGATTCAGAGCTTTGGCTATACGCTTTTCATTACCTAAATGTACTTACCTTCTTAAATGTCTTCATAAAGATAGAGGCCCTTATATTCCAGATCTTGACATTCCCTGTTTTCCATGTCGAGGAGTTTATATGCTGTGTCAGAGGTAGAATTGGTTTTGGTTGGGGATTTTTTTGCCCTTTTTTTTTTTTTTTAAAAAAAAAAAAAGACAGGGAAAAGGCAACATAGTAGTTTGTTTTAATTTTTTCCCCGTAACAGTAATAGCATTTGTGATGACTTGATGCTGTTTATTCTTAGATGAGGCATTTGATAAGGAAGAAGTTACTTTGTTCACATTATGTTGATATGTCCTAATTTTTGTGTGTCCCATCTCTTTTAATATATGAGCTTTTGCTATTGCTTTATTTTATTTTTATTTTCATGGTATTGGGATATCTGCGATGTCAGCATTTGAATTTTCCAAAAGGTCTATACCCTCTTATTTTACACTGTGTGAGTTAAAAATCAAATGCCAAGTTGAATATTGTAAACTCCTAGAAAATGCTTATCTTATGTTCAGCAGAGTCATGAATTAACTAACAAAATTTGTAGTTAGCAATAATTTGTAAATAAGTGATAAATCCACTGAATTGTTTTTTCAAGAGGAAAATTGATTTGAAATTACAAGTTTGCTGTATGTTAAATGAACTACTTAGGAACTAGTTCTTTGTATAATTTTATCTCACTACAAACAGTGCCATCAGGTTTTCCTTGAGGGTAAACTGCAGATCAGTTGTAAGTAGATAAAAGACTAAATATTTAAGATAGAAATAAAAAAATCCCAACCAAAAGAAACTCTGACTTTTACTAAAATTCTTCTATTTAGGCAATCATGTAAAAGCAAAACAAATAGAAAGAAAACCATAAGAGAGAAAAAGTAAATTGTCACAAAAAGTGCAATGCAATGTTAAAAGGAAAAAAGATGTTGAGTCAGGATGATTTTAGGTTAGCCGTGACAGAGAGTGCTTAGCCACGCGGTTCGGTGAAAGCGTAAGAAACCTGAGACAAAACCTCAAAATGTTTTGGTTTATTTGCTGTGTGGCTTGTGGTATGGGATGAAAGATCTGAGGAGGTCAAACCCTGGCAGGGGTGGTGGCAGCTGAGGCTGGAGAAACTGACTTTGATGTCCTGCAAAAGTAATAATGGATCTAATATAGACTGTTCATGTTTTGAATCCTGCTAGCCTTTAGCAGTCCGAGATATACCTTAAAGTGTATTTTTTAACATAGAAACATCTCTTATTAATCATTTGCCTTTCAACTTCAGTACAAGGCCTGTTAGGAGCCACCATTATCTGTGTCCTAGACCTGGATTTGGTAATTTGGGGAAGCGGGGAGGGGAGCAGGAGCAGTAGGATGGAGAGCACTCTCTGGGGTCTTTCGAGGTCTCGTTCCCCAGCTGTCTGGGTCAGCTCAGAGGTGCCTGCAGCCATTTGGTCTCAGCAATAACAACCTGTTGGGCAGGAGGACCTCAGACTGGTTTAGGGAGATGTCCTCGAAGAGGCGTAGGCTGAGTCATGCCATGGCCAGATGTGCAGGAGCCCCCCATCCTTGGCACACTCAGTCGTCTGTGCTAAGGGCAAATCCAAACACTGGGAGAGATCTGGATGCTGCAGTCCATGATGCATAATAAAAATAAACAAATATGGCATTACTACTACTATTAAATGAAAAAAAAAAAAAAAAAGAAGCAGCTCAAGAGTCTCGAGGGTGGAGCGAGGGAAAAGTGCAGAGCCCATATAACAATGGGGAGTCCGCTTTATTAGTATTAAGGAGGAAAATAAAATCTGCTCTGGCAGTAGTGAAATAAAACACCAGGAAGATTACGTCAGTCTTTGTTTGCACACAGTATGATTCTTCTCTTTCACCAGCCAATTTGTGTATTTGAAAAGGCAGTTGCTTGGTTGAAATAATTAGCTGAACTTCATCCAATTCCCCAATTATGTGAAAACATGTTTGAAGAAATATAGACAATTATTGTTGAGCAATTAAAAAAAAAAAAAAGAAGTAGTGGTCACTGAACAATTATAGCGCCTCGTTTAAATACCCACAAATATATATCGCAGTTTCAGAATGAGACAAGCAGCGCTCAGCGAGTCTTTGCTGTAGCTTTTGTGGTCTGAGATAGTGGCTTTAGAAGTACAGCAAAATCCAGACTGGATCTGCCTGAAACTCGTGCACGGCAGGTTAGCCTGGGGTTGCCTGAGAGAAGGGGAGTAGGTTCTGGAGCTAAACGTGTCAAAGTATATTTACAGGGAAAAAGAGTGAACTGGATACAAGTCATGTATCTGTACTATTTTACAATTTAACAGGCAAAAATCTGTATTGATGAATATGAGAGTCTTATTATACTCCTTTATTCCACACTATTGTAGATGATTATTTTGGGAAAAAACATGCAGAGTTTTTTAATGTTTCAGTGTTTAAATAGAGACCATTGCAACAATCTCACTAATAATTCCCCATAGGAGGTCCAGTGTAGTATATTAACAAGAAATTCAGTGTCTGGGAAATCGTATCTCCCTGTTGTCCTTATGTTTTCATCCTTGGAGCTAGACCTGTTGCATTTTCAGGAAAAGTAGTAATCAGAGATTTTGAAACAGGTTACTTGGAAAGGATGCAGAAGTGCTGCTGCTGGCTGAGGCAGCGGTCATCCCAGTCGCTTCTTAACTTCAGACCCCTCAGTAGACATAAAGGCGGTAACACAAAATTGTGCATTTTATTTGATAGAAACTTCCCCATTTTCCAGACCTGCCAGCTGTGTTGTTATGGGACTGCGTTACTCAGGATGAGAAGGATATCTGCTGGCACAGTGGAAATCCCTGATCCCACTGGAGCCCCAGGGCCGTGCTGGCTCGTGGACCCAGCCATGCACAGTGGGCAGCGGAGCTCTGTGCCGTGGGTTTTCCTGTTGTCCGTGGCTGCAGGCAGCCTTGGAGGCTGCTGGGCTGGGGCCAGGGCTGACTGCCCTGAGTGGTAGGAGGCTGTCGGTCCTTGGCCATCCTTTTCCCCAACTCATCTCTGCACCAGATGCTTCTGAAACGCGTTTCCACCTGTACGTCAGCTGCTGGAGGATGTATCATGTAAAACGCGCGTGCAGTGGGTGTAGGTTCCCCTGTTGCACCAGTTCTGACCCCTTCAGCAGGCTCCTTTCCCTCAGCCAGGGCAGAGCGAAACGAACGCTGACAATTAAAACACATTTTTAAACGTTTTTGCCAGTTTGTTAACATCGTCGGTGCACAAAATTCAAATTACATTTGTTTCTGTTCCTTTTAGGGGGTGGATGTTAATGCTGCCTGTGTTCTGCCGGGTCGCGAAGTGGACTCGGCCAGCCATTGCAGGTGGTGTAGGAGTTGAGCAAGGCGATGCCAGGTCCCCCAGAGATCGCAGGCAGTGGGTTTTCCTGCCAGCCCAGGAGCACGGAGACCAGGCAGCCCCCTGGGGCTGGCAGGGCTCTGGCTTCATCCCCAGCTGCCTTACCTAACCTGAACTTTGCAGCTGTGGTGTGTCTTACTGACCTCTGCGCCGCCAGCGCTTGATCTCCAGGCCGCACCTCACTTTCCTCGTGCATGGGCTGTCCCGTATTTACCCTCTGGATTTTGTTTCTTTCTCTTTGCAGGGAACGGATGCGCCAGTCTGCCATGTTTGAACTGTGCCAGGGGATGCACCAGATCAGTCTGCAGTTTGTTCGCTTGCAGCTTAGCTTTGAGGAGTACACTATCATGAAAGTTTTGCTGCTGTTGAGCACAGGTAAGTTAGATTCACGGTTGCACGGGAATACTTGAAAATATTCCAATTCACAAAGAGGTGCAATGATTTTATCTAATGTGACAACAGAGCCAAAGCGTTTCCAGCAGGGCTGCAGGAATAAGCCTGGTTTTGTGTCTTAGGGTTTATCTGCAGATCTCGCGCTCCGTTAGCACGGGAAGTGTCTTTACAGTTTGGCTGTGTCACGTGCATCGGAAGGGCAGGAGTGGCTGGGCAAGGGACTTAGGCCCCCTCCTCTGCACAGATACCACCTGAGTCAGCCAGGCGTGCCAAGGAAGTGCAACAGCTGTGGGGATTGGGGAGAAGTCCCCACTCAACGCTCAAAGCCACTGGTTTGGGTGACTTCATGTCACCTTCAGGATCGAAAGGTGTACACTGCCTGTACTGCAAATCAGGTGATTTTCCAGTGCGAAGCGAATGGAGAACGGCAAGCCCTTTTACAGGGCTCTGGAAGTTTAATAAGTGACAGTGCACGCTTGATTTTTCTCTCAAGTGTCACGCTTTGAGTTTTCTTAAGATACAAAATTACATCTTGGCATTTGTTACAGCACTGTGTAGTAATTAGCAGATCTCTTGATCTTATCTTACTGAAAGTATTGGAAAAACTCTCGACCCAGGACAATTGTATAAATACACAGGCAGTTTGCACTTTACTTTTCTGTCAGTCTTGGTGAAAAAGCCAATTACCCGTAAACAAACTTTATTCTGTATAATCACGCTCCTTTTTGTGAGATGCACTCAGTGACATCATGATGAGATAACACATCAACTTGATTGGTGGGCTTTGGTGATGTCACTTCAGTGAACTCACCAGGCAAGAATTCTCCTGGCTGGAGGAGGCTGGATGTGGGGATGTTGCGCCGGGAGAGGAGGAGCAGGAGATCAAAGGCGCTGCTGTGCTTATTCTGGCTTTCACGTGCAAGCTGCTGGCAGCAGGACACACGCCCGAGGCTGTCAGGGCCAGGGGCTGCCCAGGCTCCTGGTGCACAGAGCATCTCCCCGTTTGGTGCTGAGCGGAGCCCAGCGCGCCCTTTGAGATCTTGCTGTCTTCTCCCATCGCCCCATCTGCTGCCCCAGCAAGCTGAAAGAAGAATGGGAAGTGACAGGCATTAGTTGTGCGGCACTGGAAGGCGCTTATCGCCAAAACCACTAAAGGATGCCAGAGTGGCGGCAGATTTAGACACCCAGGAGCCTCCCAAGTCCCCAGCCATGGCGTGGGCACCTTGACGGCAGGCAGAGTTAGGTGCCTACGAAGGGATTTGCAGCATCCAGCAAAGCCGAGTGTAACCTCTTCAGGTGAGGTGGTGGGACAGACACCTTCTCCCTGTCTGCAGTGCCTTTCGGTCACACCTCGCCTGTCCCACCCAGCCAGTAGCTCTGTAGTTAAAGTACTTGCCTTTGGAGGACATGAAGCTGCAGTTCCCATCCTGGCTGGAGGGGATTTGGCTGCACTAACAGAAACCTCCTGGGCTGTAAGTTTTTTGGGCTCAGCTGTCTCCTTTCCTCCCTACCGTTGAAGCTGTTCCAGCTCCCCAGAGTAGGGAGAGATGCTGTCAGTTGGGGAGCACTTTGTGTCCCGGCCTGCAGGGTCTCATCCCCAGGTCCCGCTCCACCGAGGGTACAAGGAGATGGTGAAACTGGGACTGTGGGGAGCTGATGTGCTCTGAGGTAGCCCTGGAGAGTAAATGGGTTTTTTTGAAGGTTTTCACTCATGGCGTTTCCAGAAGGAGCTAGCAGTGCTTAACGTGGATGTGTTTGGGGGGATGTAGCTCCCAAAGTGTTCTTGAGAGTGTATGGATTGGAGATCTGGCTCTGCTACTTTTTAATCAGCCCTAAAGGGGGAGAATCTTTAGAAAAAGAGCCTAGAAGCGTTCTAAAGATGTAGCAAAATTTCTTTAAGATATTTATTATTCTACCTTCTTGGGAGTGTTAACTAAGGACTTGAGTTATTGCAAGAATCTGTTGGACAAGATCAGTGTGGCCCATTAACTTCAGCTAGCTGGGTCCTTTGGAAACACACATCACAGTCCCTAGAAAACCTACTAAAATTAGTTTGTTTTGGGAGAATCAGGATATTTATGTTAGAGAGAGAGAAGAGAGTGAAATGGAAATGAAGACAGTGATAAAACCCAGAAAGTGTCATGTGAAGGCCAGCAGACCTGGTTTCGAATGATTGCACCTTGATACAACCTTATGGCAGAAAACACCAGGTTTGCTTTCATTTAAAATTTCTTCTTGCATCAGGTGATGAGTAGACTACAAGTTATTCTGAAACTTTCATGATGACCACATCAAGGAAGTTTCACTCCATTTACACGTAGAAGAAACCACACATTACAACTCAATTGTTTTCTTGCTTTCCACAGACCATAGATTTTGGGAGCTTGCCAAAAGCATTGCTGCATTTAATAAGTAAAATCAGAAACACTGGGCAAACCTCCAGAATTTTGTGTTTTGCTTGAGTTCTCTTTATTTGTGCTCTTTCCTTCTTTCTTAATAATCTGGCCAGGGTGATGGTATAATAATTTTCAGATAGAACAGTAAAATACATAGACATAGTAGACAAAGAAAGAGTGGCTCCAACAGCCTTTAAGCAGCGTGCAGGAATACAAGCCTGTGAATGTTCAAGGAACTGTAAAGCCCGTGTGTTCTGTGTAAGGTGCTCTGATGGCTTTACTCCTCTTGATTGGTGTCTCTGTATTCATTCAGCTTTAACTGAATTCCACACGGTTTCTTCTGCCTGTCAGCTGACTGATTGAGAGAGATTTGGCATCTAGAATATTTAAAAATTAAATATTATGTTTATATAATATAAATATGTAATATTTACTGAGTAGTAGGCATGCTGGTGCGTTACCACCTAGGCCTTCTTCCAGCACTTGGTGGTCACAAGTCCTTGCTGCTCATGTGGTGGTAGAGCTAAATTGCTCTGGTAGATACTGGTGATTGAAGATACTGGTGCTTTTTCTTAAAGCTGCTATGCTGGAGCCGTTTGGGCGGTTGTTACCTGCTTATGCTGTGATTGCGGTGGGAAAGGAGGCAGTTCACAGGATTTCAAAGACTAGGGAACAGATGAACAAGACCATTTCTGTCAAGATGTTAAGTCAGAGTAAGCTAAATTGGAAGATCCAACTTTTTTTTTTCCTTTTTTAATAAGTAACTGCCAATTTAGCTTACTCTGACACAGCTTTCTGGCTTGCTTAGAAAATAAACTCACTCCTTTGCAGTGTAGTGTTTCATGTTCCTTCTGTGGACTAGCAGTAAGAGATGCAGAGTAGAAAAATATGTGATGCGTTAAGCAGTATTCAACCAATCCGGGTATTAAAACACCAGAACAGTTTGTGTAATGTTGTTAATAACCTCTTGGGGGTTTTCCTAGAGATCTGGTCCTATAA